AGGCCATTCCTATTGAAAAGGCTAAAAGATGAGTGGGGTAGGACCTCAGGGAATCACCAGGGCAGGGCAAACAGTGTGAGCCAGATTGATGGAGTTTTAGATATGAAGCCTGCCTGCTGGCTCTGTGGGGGGGGAGGGCTCATCAAAAGACCAATGGCCTCTGCTAGCACTTCTGTCTGGGAGAAAGTTGCCTCTGCTCCCAAGTTCTTGCCCTGAGGCTGGACAATTCAGTTCCTCCCCATATGTTCTCTGGTGCCTTTAAAGCTGCAGCTCCAGTCCTGGAGCTCAGAGGGAGTGAGTCTGAGCAAGTCAGTGTGCAGGCCCTTTAAAAGGAACTGCCCAAGACTCCAATAGCCCTCCTTCTCCCTCATCCTCAATCCCCGCTGTTTTTTACAACCAGGAGTTATGAAGACTTCTCTTCCTGGCACTGCAACCCTGGGCTGGCGACCCCTTGCTCCTCAGGGGGGACCTCTGCAGCCAAGATATCCCTCCCATTTTTCCCCACCAACTGTGAGTTTAGGACCAGCCCCTTCTAATGGGCCTCAATATGCCTTCTTCTTTAATTCCCTATTTGTAAGACTTCCATTTAGCCAGGGTTCAGGTAGTTCTGAATGATGGTTGTTGTTTAGTTGTAATTTTGATGTGGTTATAAGAGGAGTGGAGTACTGAGTTTACCTATGCTGCAATCTTGCCCAGAAGTCCTTTTTTTCTTCTTCTTCTATGTGACATCCAGCAAGGGATATTCCATCTATCAGGTCATGTATAAAATTGAGAGAGGCTGGAGCACAACAGTAAATTCACAACTTGGCCCACCATGAGAATTACCTGTTTAGATTTTACTTTATGCTAAAAAAGTATCTGGGTAAAAGGGGGTGATCTGTTGTGAATATTTAGAACCAAAACAGAAGCAAGCTCTCCTCAATTACTGCCCTTTAAAGAGGTACATTCAATCTACATTGTTCATGGATTCCTTACTTGTGAATTTGCCTACTCACTAAAATTTACGTGTAACCCCAAAACCAATACTTATAGTGCATTTACAGACATTTTCAAAGATGAAAACTGATTCTGAAAATTTGTTAACTGATGTGAAGTGGCATCTGGCGGTTTTCATTTGTATTTCCCTGATAACTCAAGTACTTAACGGCCAACTGTATATAAAGAATACTGACTGTTGTGTGAATAGAAATGTTTATTCAATTCCTTCGCCCAATTTTTAATTATGTTATTTGTCTTTTTATTAAGTTGTAGTTCTGAACATAATTTAGATGTAATTCTCTGATCAGATATATGATTTACAAATATTTTCTTTCATTCTAATATTTTCTTTCATTCTATGGATTCTCAGTTTACTTTTTTTTGTTGTTAATGCTCACCCGAGGATATTTTTCCATTGATCTTTTAGAGAGAGTGGTAGTGAGAGGAAAAGACAGAGAGAAACACTGATGTGAGAGAAACACATCGATTGGTTGCCTCCTGCAATCAAACCCAGGACCTTTTGGCCCGCAGGCCGACACTCTATCCACTGAGCCCAACCAGCTAGGGCTCAGTTCACTTTCTTGATGGTGTCCTTTGAATTTAACACAAAAGTTTTTAATTTTGAAGAAGCCTAATTTATCTATGTTTTTCTTGTTTGTGTTTTTGGTGCTATATCTTAAGAAATCACTGCCTAATCCAAGGTCACAAAGACTTATTTCTATATTTTCATCTAACAGTTTTATATTTTTAGTCTCACACTTAAGTTAATTTTTTAAATTGTGGTAAAACATACATAATATAACAAATGTATCATCTTGCCATTTTAAGTGTACAATTCAGTGGTATTAAAGACATTCACAGTGTTTGTAACCATCACTGTTATATTTTCAAAAGTTTTCAACACCCCAAACAGAAATCCTATACCCATCTATATATATAAAAGCCTAAGCGACCATTATGACTGAACGACCAGTCGCTATGACATGCTTTGACCACCAGGGGGCAGACACTCAATGCAGGAGCTGTCCCCTGGTGGTCAGTGCGTTCCCACAGGAGGAGCACCACTCAACTAGGCTCACAGCTGGCGAGTGCAGCTGTGGCAGCGGGAGCCTCTCCTGCCTTTGTGGCAGTGCTACTGAGCAGTGGTGGCAGCAGCAGGCACAGTGGGGTTGGGGTGAGCAGCAGCACAGCTGTGCCTAGCCCTGGCTGGGGCTCCTACCTAGCTGCCTGCTGCTTCAGCACTGTTATATCCCTGGGCGGGGCGGGGGGAATATTGGACTGCAGGGATCGGGCTGAAACCCAGCAGTCCGACATCCCCTGAGGGGTCACGGATTATGAGAGGGCACAGGCCAGGCTGAGGGACCCCATCCATGCATGAATCCGTGCACTAGGCCTCTATTTAAATAATAATTCCCTATTCTTCTTTCCTACCCAGCCCTTGGTAATCTGTATTCTACTTTCAATTTCTATGAATTTTCTGTTCTTGGTACCTCATATAAGTGGAATTATACAATATTTGTTCTTATGTCTGGCTTATTTCACTTTGTATAGTGTTTTCAAGGTTATCCATGTATGTAGCATAAGTCAGAATTTCATGCTTGCCCTGGCTAGTGTGGCTCAGTTGGTTAGAGCATTGTCCCATACACCAAAAGGCTGTGGGTTCAATCCCTAGTCAGGGCAAGTGCAGGAGGCAACCAATTGATGTTTCTTTCCCTCTCTCTCTCCCTTCCTCTCCCTATGATCAATTTTTTAAGTGATCATAAAAAAAGAATTTCATTCTTGAGGATGAATAAATAACATTCCATTATATATATATTGTTTACCCTTTCATCTGTTGATGGGTGGTTTCCACCTTTTGGCCTTGGTAAATAATGTTGCTGTGCCCAGCTGGCATGGCTCAGTGGTTGAACGTCAATCTATGAACCAGAATGTTAAGGAGGTTCGATTCCTGGTCAGGGCACATGCCCCAGTTGTGGGCTCGATCCCCAGTGGAGCCAGTGCAAGAGGCAGCCAATCGATGATTCTCTCTCATCATTGGTGTTTCTATCTCTCTTTTCCTCTCCCTTCCTCTCTGAAATCAATAAAAATATATTTTAAAAAATAATGGTACTATGAACAATGGCATACAAGTGTTTGTTAGGTGTACCTGCTTTCAATTCCTTTAGGTATATACAGGAAAGTAGATTAGATCACAATGTGTTAAAACTTTTACAGGAACTGCTAAACTATTTTTAATAGCACTGTACCATTTTTATTTTAAATTTTTACTTATTATATATATTTATTTTATTTCACCCATTCTCCACCCCCTCCCATTTGGCAACCATCAGCTTGTTCTCTACATCTATGTATCCATTTCTATCTGACTTCTTTCACTTAGCATAATACCCTCTCGGTTCATCCATGTTGTTGCAGATAGCAAGATTTCATTCTTTTTTACTGATTAGTAATATTCCATTGTGTGTATACCACACACACACACACACACACACACACACACACACACACACACACGACATCTTCTTTATCCATTCATCTATTGATGGACACCTAGGTTGTTTCCCATATCCTGCTTTTTTAAGTACTGATGCAATGAACATAGGGGAACATATGTCTTTTTGAATTAGTGTTTTTGTTTTCTTCAGGTAAGTATCCAGAAGTAGAATTGCTGGGTCAAATGGCAGCTCTGTTTTTAATTTTTTGAGGACTCGCCATACTGTTTTCCATAGTGGCTGCACCAGCAGTGCCACCAACAATGCACAACAGTTCCAATGTTTCCACATCCCTGCCAATATTTGTTGCTTTCCGTTTTGGGGTAATAGCCATACCAGTGAACATGAAATGTGGTATTTCATTGTGGTTTTTGATTTGCATTTCTCTAATGACTAATAACATTAGGTATTTTGTCATTATTTCATTATTGGTCATTTGTATATATTCTTCAGAGAAATATCTATTCAAGCTCTTTCCTTATTTTTGATGTCATTTTGTTGTTGAGTAGTTCTTTAGATGTACTGAATATTAATCCTTCCTTAGATATACTAGTATGATTTGCATATATTTTCTCCCATTCTGTGAGTTGCCTTTTTTATTGTGAGTTGTCTTTTTACTCTCTTGGTAGTGTTCTTTGATATACAATAGTTTTAATATTGAAAAAGTCCATTTTATTATTTTTTCTTTCTTGGTGTCTTTGCTTTCAGTGTCAGATCCAGGAAATCACTGTCAACTCCAATGTCATGAAGATTTTCACCTATGTTTTCTTCTAAGAGTTTTTGTATTTTGTAGTTTTAGTTCTTAAGTTTGGCTCTTTCATCCATTGAGTTAATTTTTTTTTATCTGGTTTAAGGTAAGGGTCCAACTTCATTAATTTGCATGTTCAGTATTCCCAGAACTATTTTTGAAAAGACTGTATTTTCTGCCCTGGCTGGTGCGGCTCAGTTCATTGAGTATCATCCCATGCTCCAAAAGATTGCCGGTTCAATTCCCAGTCAGGGTACATGACCAGCTTGGGGCCTGATCCCCAGTGGGGGAGGCGTTCAGGATGCAGCCAATTGATGTTTCTCTCTCTCCCTTTCCCTTCTTCTCTCTAAAAACATATTAAAAAAAAAAAAAAAAAGAAGACTGTCTTTCCCCATTGAATGTTTTTAGCATCCTTGTAAAAAATCAAAGCCCATACATATGTGATGGTTTATTTCTGGGTTCTCTATTCTATTATATAATTTCTATATTATATAATTTCTGGGTTCTCTATTGGTCTATATGTCTCTCCTCAAATATTTTATGAATAAATGTGTTGCCTTGTTTATAATTCACTTTACCTCCATAACTGCTTCCTCCTCCTATTAAATGAGGGATTGAACTTAAGGACTCTTACAATTCCAACAATCTTATGATATTACACTCAAGGTTTTCCTCAATATAGAATTATACCATACACTCTTAATTTATCAAATAGTCATGAAATATTGCTAAAGCTACAAATGACTAAGATAGTTCAGTAATTTCAAGTGTATAATATGTACCTTCAATATCTGAAACTATTAGCATCTGAGGTTGAGAGAGACCTTCTTGAAGACTGTAGAAGTGGATTGTACTATCAAATGTTATGAAGCCAATTTTTGTCCTAGTGTTGCCAGGAAGCCTAAAAGTAAATTTAGAAGAGTATTTTATCAAGTTTTCTCATATTCATATACATATATATTAAATATCCAATAAGAGTTACATGAAAATATCTACTTTCATATTATAGAATTTGTCCTAACATAAACGTTTAACCCCTCCAATGTTTAATCACCATGAAAGCATACCCTACTCACAGTGAAAACACTACACATAAACCAAACTATCAAGAAAACCCAGTAATAATACAGCAATTCAAAACTCATTACACCTACATAAAATTATATAATCACTTGGAAAATGGCATATAAAAATACTGGAAAGCATAAACAAAACTTTGTAGAAGATTTTAATTTATAAAATACATTACAAAATTACTATATACCTACTCTAAAATTTAATATAAATTTAGATACTGCATAGCTGTTAAAATTTTACCCATGTTTGGGTGAATCAGTGGACTCTTCCTCAACAGACAATCCCCATACGCAACCTGTAACACTAAAAGTACAAATGCTGGCAAGAACAAGGATGCCCCTTATCATCAAGGTAAGGGAGTTAGTTTGTTTCTGATGAGATTTTGTTTTCCATATTCTTCCACAGAACACAAGTACACTATAATGCATTACACTAAAAGGTCACACAAACTTTTATAGGTTACCCTAAGTAACTAAGCACCATTTAAAGTACAGATGTTTAAAAAAGAGAGAGAGAGAGAGAGAGAGAGAGAGAGAGAGAGAGAGAGAGAAGAGAGAGAGGAAAAAAAATGTACAGCTATTTTTAAATAAATAAATAAAAAGTAAAGCACAGATATTTTAAGAGACTTATGAGACATAACAGCCAAATGCAATGTGTAAAAATAGTTTAGGTTCTTATTCCAACAAACCTACAGCAAAGAAGCATTTTTGAAACAATCAGAACAAAAACTGAACTGGGTATTAGTTGATATTATGAAATTATTGTTAATTTTGTTTGGTGTGACACTCCTATTTAATTAGAGCTAAAAATAATTCCAAGTATTTATAGGTAAGATGATATGCTGATTGAGATTTACACTAAAGTACTCAAGGGGGGGTATGTTTGTATGATTACATAAAGCAAAAACAGCTGAATGCTACCCTGGCCGCGGTGGCTCAGTTAGTGGTAACGTCATCTGTACACCAAAAGGTGGTGGGTTCAATTCCCAATCAAGGCACATACCCAGATTTTGGGTTCAATCCATGGTCAGAGCAAGTGAAGGAAGCAACCAATTGATGTTTCTTTCTCCCCCTCCCCTCTCCTTTTCTCCCTTCCTCTCTAAGATTAAAGGGGTGGGGGGGGGTGGGGGGGAGAATAGCTGAATGCTAAAAATGTTAAAGTTGAGGGAGAAGGGATGGATATTTGGAAGTTCATTACATTCTTTCTATTTACTCTATGTTTAAAATTTTTCCAAAATAAAAAGTTAAAATAGAATTTTGGAGAAAGCAAGGCCTAAAGTTCACAACTGACTTAAGTAGGCTTTTAGAATATTTAGAATATAATTACATAGCTTTTTTTTGTATTTTAAAACTATTTATCCATTTTGTAAACAGTTTCCAACTGAAGCTGAATCAAGATACTTACAAATCCAGATTGTCTAACAAACTCTGGCAAACTGAATTCAAGTATCCAGTTTCAATTGCATTGTGAGACACATCAAACACAAAGAGGTACACTGGAGGTTGAGGTGGTCGTAACTGAAAAAAAAAAAAAATATATATATATATATCATTAAATACATTTAATAGGATTAAATTTAAATTTATCATTTGTCCTGTCCACATACAGCAAAACAATAAAATAAGCATTATTATAAATTAAATGGAGACTATAATAAACAAGAGTAAAAAAATAATGTAGAAAGAACAGAAGTTTAAAAAACAGGCAAAACTATACCATATTGTTTTCAGATGGATAGGGAAAAAATGAGGATGTGATTGCTATTAGTCAGAAGACTGTTTTCTCCAGCATGGGAAGGGGAGGAAATGTGATCAGAAGGGCTTCTGGGAATATTAGCAACGTTCAATTTCTCGACCTGGGTGGTGCTAACACAGCATTTATAATTATTTGGCATACTATATATTTTTGTTTTATAGATTTTTCCATATGTGCATTATATTTCACAACTTAGGGGGAATTACAGTTCTGAAAGTGACAAATTAAGTTGCCTGAGCTCGTTATTTATTTAACAAACACATTTCAGCCAAGTTTCACAAAAATGTACGATTATGTTTTTAAACTTCCCAATTCAAAGATCTGTTTTCAATTCAATAAAAAGCAGCAAGTAACCACAATCAGAACTGGCGCATATAGTGTACTAACTTTTGTGTATGGTTGTGGGGTTTTTTGGTAAATATTACTTGCTGAATCACAGAATCTGTTGCCCCAAGAGGTAATTTGGGAAGAAGCAAAACCTCTTGCTACAGGCAAGTTCTAAATTTAAAGAAAGCCATTTTCGTAAAACCTGGGAGGTAAAAGAAAAGAAATCCAGGAAGGCCAATTCAAAAGAACAAATGCTTCTGCACTTTTTTCTTTTAACTCAACAAAGGGACAGCTACTACCAACCAACCATTCATTCATTCATTCTTTAATCCGCACTGGAGGATATTTTTTCCACTGATTTTTTACAGAGAGTGGAAGGGTGGGAAGGAGGAAGGGGGGCGGGAGGAGAGAGGGGGGGGGGGGGGAAGCATCTATGTGAGAGACACATTGATTGCCTACCACACGAGCCCTGATCAGGGCCGGGGATCGAGCCTGCAACCCAAGTACTTGCCCTTGACCAGAATCGAACCTGCAAACCTGCCCACTCACCAAAGGGTTGCAGGTTTGATTCCTGGCCAAGGACACGTTTCTGGGTTGCACGTTCCATACCCAACTCCGACCGCATTTGGGAGGCAACCAATCTATGTCTATCGATGTCTCTTTCTGTCTCTCTCTCTCTCCATCTCCCTCCTCCCTCCCTTCCACTCCCTTTCAAAATCAATGGAAAAAATATCCCACTCCTCAAGTGAGGACTAATAAACAACAACAACAAAAGTACTTGGAAGAGGATGCTCATCACACCATTATTTGTAATTTAAAAAATTGGAAGTGACTTAAAAGTAAATATGATCTCAACATGGTATTGCAATTTCTAGATGAACACACAAGAATCATAAGTGGAACTTTACATACTAGTACACTTTTCAGACTTATCCTTATATACTAATTAACTATTTTTATAATGAACATGTATAACTTTTCTAAATTTAAAACCATAAAATTTTGTTAAAGGATGCTATGTTGTTTTATTTAAAACCCACTATTATGAGATAAATACGTTATATAAAAAAATGAAAACTTACCATGTATTCTGAAGGAGCCATAAACTCAATTGTAGCATTTTGAACTTCAGGTCTTCTGTGAGGTTCTCCATAGGCTCTGGTCAAAGGGTTGTACATGAATTCTTCAGGAACTATATAAGTTGACAACATAAAATGATAAAACTAAGATTAAGTTTAATAAACCTTGTGTTTGGCTGTTTTCTTATTTAGTAATTTATAAATACTTCAATATAGACTAAATGTTAAGGGATAATTATGTACACTTTGTTTTTGAGGTACATTCAAGTTCCTCATATACTAAATGGTCCTGCATATGTCTTACTTTTATATACTAAATCACTGTTATTTTTTTTCTTTCCCTGTCTTCTAATATCCTCTTCATCTTAATTCTTGCTAAAGCTTTTCTAAAATAGCTTGAAAAAATGATAAAAACTTATTAAATGCCAATAATTTTTTTAACAAGGATATTAACATTTGACACATAATATGTAAAGACTCTGGATACTTCGTGAAAGGTATGGTAAAAACACTTAAAAGTTTAAAGTCTAAAGATATGGTGAATTTCCTTAATTAATAAGACCTCTATGGAACATCAGTTGCCTACCACTTATGATATAATGGAGCTCAAAGAGTATTTTCTAAATGAATTATCATTGCAGCTGTCTTCTAACTGTTTAGAAATTCAAATTCTTATGTAGCTAAAGGATAAGCCATAGTTCATGAAATAGTCTGTGCTGCATATGAAAGTGACTTCAACCTTTATTACCATTTCATTTCATGTGCTTCATATGAAGCACATATACGTAAGATTTTAAGGTGTACTAAACACTATACATATATTTTCTGAATTATTATAGAATAAAAAGAATGCTCTTACTCTATCCTCACTTTCCTCTACTCTTGAATGCATAAAATAAGTAGAACAAATCAATGTCTCTCTCTAATCAATAAATAAAAACATTTTTAAAATAATTTTGAGAGATATCTTAAATTCCTTTATTTCCCAATGCTCAATGAAATTTCCTTCCAAGCAGAGACTTAATTTTTTTTTTTTAATATATTTTATTGATTTTTTACAGAGAGGAAGGGAGAGAGATAGTTAGAAACATCGATGAGAGAGAATCATCGATCAGCTGCCTCCTGCACATCTCCTACTGGGGATATGCCCGCAACCCAGGTACATGCCCTTGACCGGAATCGAACCTGGGACCTTTCAGTCCGCAGGCCGACGCTCTATCCACTGAGCCAAACCGGTTTCGGCAAAGAGACTTAATTTTCAATGTAGATATCAGCATACACTTTTTCTCCTAGAATCCTATTAAAGTGAAGTTGGTTAGATGATATTCCTCAAAAGTAAATTGTGAAACAGTTGAAAGAGATCTCCTCCTTCTCAATTACTGAGAAAACTACATTCAATTAACCTTCTAGCACTGCCCACCTCCCTTCATATAGCAGTGAATAAAGCTAATGGCAGCTAATCTGTGGACTTACTTTCTTTTACCCCTAGAGCAGTGATTTTCAACCTTTTTCATCTCACGGCACACATGAACTAATTACTAAAATTATGTGGCACACCAGAAAATATATTACATATTTTGTTGATCTGACCAAAAAAAAAAAAAAAAAGGTATAATTTTGATTCATTCACACCTGACGGCTATTGTTGTGTTGGCTGTTGTCATTTTTTATTTGACAATCTAAGGGAAAAGAGGTCAGTGCCCCTGACTAGTCAGGTATCTATCGCGTTTTAAAAATTCTTTCCCTCTCTCTGTCTAGGTGCACCGGTTGAAAATCGCTGCCCTAGATTAAAGGCATTGGACAATTTCTAAATAAAAATATTTCATAAATTACAGACTTAAATAACACCATAAAATATGCCATTTATTATTATACCCAACATAATAAATGTAAAATAGTGGTATCAAAGTAATATTATCTTTTTTTTTTTTTTTGACTTAAGAAGAATATAATTATTTATATGTAGAAATAAGTGCATAGAAAAAAGTTAACAGAAGCTATTTCTGAGTGGAATGTTTACAGGTAAGTAAGACAGGGCTGTTGATTCTTTTAACTTCACATTTGTATTATCTGATTTCCCTACAATGGAAGTAAAAATTTTAAAATGTTTCAAAAAAAACATACCATCATTGACTTGGTAACATAAGTTACACTTCCATCTCCTTTGATCAAGAAAGCTGACAAAAGGGTTGATGTATGTCCTGCATGAACGGCATCTCACAATTGTACTGGAGGTAACCACAGGCAATTGCTGAAAAAACAACTAATTTTTTTAAGGCAGTGATCATCGTAACTAAGGCGAAGCACTAAGCATACCTTCCAAATAATTGCTGGGATATTACTGTAACTTTGGAGGAAAAAACCCCAGGGTAAAAAGTGTCCAAAATGCGACACAAAAAATTATGTAGCAGAGATGTATTGATTTGAAACCCTGTTGCTTTCTCCAGGATTGGTCTCTTAAATTTTACCTTTTAAAAAGTACTTATTTTCTCATTAACATTTATACGCAAAACCAACATAGTAAACTTATAATGTATTTTTGAGATGGGTGGCAAAGGAATGATCAACATTCTAAAACAGAGGTGGGGAGCCTTTTTCTGCCAAGGGCCATTTCGACATATATAACATCATTTTTGGACCATACAAAATTAGCCTGTTATATTTGATCAAACATTCAATTAACGCACCACTAATGCCTTGGCAGAGCCAGACAAAATCATTTCACAGGCCTTATACGTTCCCACCCCTATTCTAAAACAAATTATTTCAAAGTTTCTTCATGTTATAGTAAGAGGCTTACTAAGTTCTCATGAAAGAACTGTCATATTTAAATATTCAATTAAACTTTGCAATTATGTTCCTATTTAAAGTTTATCCTACATTAAAAAAAAGTTGTAAAGTCTTAATATAAAAAGGCAATAAAATCCTATCATCAATTGAAGGTTTGTTTTGGGAAAATCAATTCACTTATGCACTGATCCTCTCAACAGTAGGTGGCCATATGTCAAGGTCCCAGAGCCTTAGGACAAAAGTGAAAAGGCTTTTTTGAGGGAGTGGGGGTAGGGTCAATCAGAAGGATTTGGGCCCCTTTTCTTCTTTTTTTTTAAAACAGCTTCTTAAAGAACAAATTTTATTCCAAGAATGGCAGAACGAGGGGACTGGGTAAAGTATTTTAATAGGTAAATAATTTATAACTTACCATTAGGTCTTTGAAAGGATGAAGCAGCAGTCCTAACGGAAGTTTGGCTTTATTCAGTAAGGCCTGAGTCTGAGGAATGCTAGTCAATGTACATCGAAATAACCTATATTAAAGTAAAAATGATGTATCAGTTGTTGCTATGATTATTTTTGAACAACAACAAAAAGATTCAAAAGGTACACATTTTGCCCTGGCTGGTTTAGTTCAGTGGCTAGGGTTGGGCTCAGAGCGAAGGGTTAAGGGTTTGGTTCCCAGTCGAGGGAATGTACCTGGTGCCTTGGCTGATCCCCAGGCCCTGTCAGTGTGCATTGGGGAGGTAACCAATCAATGTGTCTCTTTCTCTCTCCCCTTCCTCCCTCCCTTCCACTCCCTCTAAAAGTCAAAAGAAAAAATACTCTCAGGTGAGGATTAACAACCAAAAAAAGGGTACAATTTTAACACTGGATCAGATTATGAATGCATAAAATATTTCAACAGGCGCTCTCAAATTTTATCCCATTTAAATCCTACTCAGAAAGAGAGGGTAGATGGTTACAATCTCTAGTATATAATTAAAGAAAAGTCTCTTCTCTGCTTGTGTGTAAATCTAGACTATCAAATGACCCATTTCTTTGTTTGTGTGTTAATCCTCACCCGAGGAAGAGAAGGAAAGACAGAGCGAAACATCAATGTGAGATAAACACATCGATCAGTTGACTCCTGTACTTGCTCTGACCAGGGCCCAGGGCGGGGAGGAGCCTGCAACCAAGGTATGTGCCCTTGACTGGAATCGAACCCAGGACCCTTTGGTCTGCACGCCGATGCTCTATCCACTGAGCCAAACGGTGATGATCCAAATTTGCTAAAGGTTCTAAAATACTATTTATAACAAAATTCAATTTCTCAGAACACCTTTGCTATATATATTTAAGCCTATATGGTCAATTTTAAGAAAAGAGTGTTATAACTATGTTTTTTATAAAAAAACAATTCGAAATGAGAGCACATAAAGGATTATATAGAATTAAATCTCCGTACTTTGGACTGAAGAAATAATATAGCTACCATAACGATAATGAATATCACACCACCTTTTTTTTTAAAAAATATATTTTATTGATTTTTTACAGAGAGGAAGGGAGAGGGATAGAGAGTTAGAAACATCAATGAGAGAGAAACATCCATCAGCTGCCTCCTGCACACTCCCCACTGGGGGTGTGCCTGCAACCAAGGTACATGCCCTTGACCGGGATTGAACCTGGGACCCTTAAGTCCACAGGACGACGCTCTATCCACTGAGCCAAACTGTTTAGGGCCACACCACCTTATAGCTGATAAAGGCAGCAATCATCTCAGAAGTTGCAACCCTATTTCTGAGCTTAGAACATTTCAAATATCAATTAAGTAAGCAACTAAGAGTTGTTTTCTACCCGCAGAACTACTTTCATAAATTAATATATCTGCACAACTTGTTCATAATATATGACTCCAAAGAAATCTGAAAGTTTTTAGAACGAGTAAAATGTAAGAAACACTGAAGCCTTACTCTGGGTTACAGTTGAGTCTCTGGATATCTTCATGCAAATTTGGAACCGGAGGCTGCAAAGGTGTTGACGGAAGCATGTTTCTCTCATGAAGAAGGTTAATAACTCTTAGCCCATCTGGATGTAGACTCAATCCACTCATGCTTGCAGTTAAATGATTAGCACCTAAGGAATTCTAAAGATGTATAATTTCAAAGTAAGTAGTCTTTATAATGTCTTCAGTTGAAAACAGAAGTGTATAAGGACGTAGTTACTTAATTCCTCTCTAAATAAAACTGTAATCTAGACTTTCTGATCAATTTTTTGGTTCTGGAGATATGTAACAGGACAAAGTCTTATGAAATATCCATTATTATTCTAATGGTTTAAAAATGTTCATTATACACGTCCTGAAACTTTTTCATGTACTTACAGTTTAAACAGAAAGGTGGATAATGAGTAAAAAAACAGAAACAAAAAGTTTACCTGGGTAAAGGCCTGTGGCCCACTTGGGTAGCTCAAGGAAGAGGTTGGCATTCCGGTTGTACTAGGTGGTTGTGTGTTCTGATAACCAGGTGGTAAAGAGGGATATGAATATCCAACACTTCGGCTCATTGTAGGATTCTTATCAGTAAGCTGTGGTGTTGCTAGAAACAAGGTAACTTTTAAGTTCTATTTTACACTCCAGAATACTTTAAATCAACACATAGATCCATTAAATCATAAGAATTATAATTCTAAAATCCTTTTGATAAGTTAATACTTTCATCTATCACTTTTGTAAAATAAGACAAATACTAGCAACAAAGTAATAGCAATGATTAAAATCTACTTAATGTAGACTACAACTATAAACACAAAAATAAGATTTATATAGTTCATTACTTTTATATGTATGAAACTTTGTATTCAGATGAAAATTCTAATTTAAAATAACTTTAATGAAAACATACTAAATGTTCAATTGGTTAAATCCATTTAAATAAATCTAATTGATAAAAATACTTTATAGTCATAGCATCATAATAATAAAGCCCACAATCCCAACTCCGAGGGAAAAAAACTAACAAAAGAAATCTATATGCATGGAGATAAAAAATGGTAACAGTAATCATTGTTGTGGGACATGATTATAAAGATTTCTTCTTTGTTCCCTAAAATGAACAACAAGAAAAAACTTTCGTAGCATCTCACCCAAGAAGCCACCGCCTTCAATTTCATCATAACGATTGTGAACCCCCATAGATCCATTATTGGTACTTGATGTTATACCTAAGAAAAGTTTATTAATATTTACATTAGAACAATTGTTACAATTTCAATAAGACTGGAGCTAATTTAAGATAACTTTTCAAATGACAAATATAGTTTAAACCACAGCCCAAGAAAAATGTCAAATGTTGAAATAAAATTTTAAACAATGCCAGTTTTTAAATGTACAAAATATACCAAAGTAGCAAATAATTTCATAAACTTCTAAAAAGGATGGTCCTTTGTGGAGTGTACAAAATTATATACTATCTGAAAGATTTCAGCATTTGCAAGAGTAGCTTTAAAAGCCTCTTAAGAGCAATATACACTGAAAAACAAATCAATACTAATTAAAAATAAAATAATGAGAAAATAACTTTTTTCAAAATATGGAAAAGGTAGAATTTAGAATTAATCTGAAGGTGATATAAATTAATTAGAACAACTGCATCAGTCTAGAGAACCACCACTAAAATTTTTTAAAAATCTTGTTTACCCCAATTTGCAGAGTTAAATACCAGAGGCATCTGCTTGTGAAGAGTAAAAATTTACTTCTAGGTATGTATGCTATTTAAGAGCTCAAATTCAGGTACAGAAGAAACTAAAATCAGTGACTAGCATCAACCTCTAGCACCTAAGTACATAGGTGCTAACGTTACTAGTTATTTTGACACCAAATAGGTAAGTTAAAAGGTTTCAATACAGTTGACAAGTTCTATGCAATTCTCAAGACCACCAGATTTTAGCCATGAGTTGATACAGAAAAACTTTTAAAAACTGTTTGCAGCCCTAGCTGGTTGCTCAATGGTTAGAGCGTCAGCCGTTGGACTGAAGGGTGATAAGTTCGATTAGGAAAAAGGGCACGTACCTCCTCTGTTCCAGGCTTGATCTCTATCTCCATCATGGGAATGTGCTGGAGGCAACCAATCGATGTGTCTCTCTCACATCAATGTTTCTCTCTCTCTGTCTCTCCCCCTCCCTTCCAGTCTCTCTAAAAATCAATGGAAACATATCCTCTGGTGAGGATTAACAAAAATAAATTGTCTACAGAAAGTCCCTGATTGATATTTCTCTCTCATATGGATGTTTCTCTCTCTCTCTTTTCCTCTCTCTCTAAAAATCAATAAAAACATATCCTTGGGTAAGGATTAAAACAAACAAACACTTTGCAGAAACAAACAAAAACAGTGTGTATATTTTTAATTGGTTAAAATTTTAAATAATGTGGCAACCTGTGGGACATTGCTTTATCATTTTGTTATTCATTGTTAATACCATTCTTTTCAAACTACTTACAAGTCTCCCCCCCACACACTTATAATTCTAAAAACAAAGGAACTGCTACAAGAAAAATTATATTTATTGTATTTAGTAGTAGGATATAGGTAATGGTTTCCCCCCTCCTTTTCTGTTTTCCTATTTCCATATCTTGCTGCAATGGTTATATTACTGCTAAAATCAAATTTCTTATTTTACAAAATATTACTTAAATTAATAAACATTTTAAAATTATATCCGAAGACAATGCTTTAAGACATTTTATTTATATAAAACTTCAAAATGCTTGTATATTTAACTTTGTATTTAGATTCATAAATATTTGCTAATATTTACAGTAACAGTGACAATCAAAATACCACTTCCATGGAAAAAAGCCAGTATATTAAAAGAATAGTTCTAACAAAAAAGCAGGAACTCTTCTCTCACCTCCCTCTCCTGAAAGGCACCTAACTTTATACCCACAGCAATAAAAAAAGTTAACAGCAGTGGTTCCTGAATGCTAGTTCACAGCCCAGCATACATAGGACTGTGGAATTTTTTTTTTTAATATATTTTATTGATTTTTTACAGAGAGGAAGGGAGAGGGATAGAGAGTTGGAAACATCGATGAGAGAGAAACATCGATCAGTTGCCTCCTGCACACTCCCCACTGGGTATGTGCCCGCAACCAAAGCACATGCCCTTGACCGGAATCGAACTTGGGACCCTTGAGTCTGCAGGCCGACGCTCTATCCACTGAGCCAAACCGGTCAGGACTAGGACTGTGGAATTTTGAGGAAGTTCTTTAAACTCTAAATTTCTGCCCTAACCGGTTTGGCTCAGTGGAGAGAGCATCAGCCTGCAGACTCAAGGGTCCCAGGTTCGATTCTGGTCAAGGGCATGTACCTTGGTTGCGGGCACATCCCCAGTAGGGAGTGTGCAGGAGGCAACTGATAGATGTTTCTCTCTCATTGATGTTTCTAACTCTCTATCCCTCTCCCTTCCTCTCTGTAAAAAAAATCAATAAAATATATTAAACTCTAAATTTCTGAAGGCCAACCCTAACCAAAACAACTAGATTTTCTGGAAAAAAATATGATATGAATACACAGATTTCAGACAATATTCATTCTTCTACCCTAAGTCAAACCTTTAGGACTTGACTTGGTTTTGCCATGCTTACCTTCTTGGTTGATAGGTGAATTAAATGAGGGCTGAGGCACATCCCTATGTGATGATTTCTGAGGACTTAGGGCCCTCACTGGAGGTGGTCCTCCAACTGGAGGAGGCCCAAGAGGAACTCCTGGTTGGAAAGTGGTAGGCAGAGGTGGATTCACTAAGGGGGGTGCAGAACCTATGAAAACATTGGTTTTTCACGTTACTTAAGAATTTAAGACAAAGGCCAAATAGCCTTTCACTAAATCTGAGTAACTTTGAAATTTTAATTACAAACACCAATAAATTACCAGAAATATGTTAACTTCCCAGGTTTATAACTTAATTTATATGCATACTTTACATCTTGCCAAGTCTCTCCTATAGTAAACTATTAAAGCAGTATAAACTCAACATCAAATCACTTATAAGATAGAGACAGTGATTAATTTTTCATTGACTGGTCGCAGTTTCAATAGGCCACATCAAATATTCCAGTAGAAATTAACACGAATAAAATTTTATTAATGACCTATTAATATAGTCCATTCAATTAACATTGATTAGGTTTAGAGTTAGCATTGTAAATACTTTGTAATTTGTTAGTATTGTGATACTCTAAATTCTCTAAGTTTTATTTCATTCTGCTTCATTTTTATTGGCGGTGTATAACCTATTAAAAATGAGATTGTAAATTTGTACCTTTTAATAACCTAATGATAATCAAAAGTTTACTTTTGTCCAGCTGGCACAGCTCAGTGGTTGAGCATCGAGCTATGAACCAGGAGGTCATGGTTTGATTCCCATCAGGGCACATGCCTGGGTTGCAGGCTGGATTACCAGTGGGGGGTGTTCAGGAGGCAACTAATCTATGATTCTCTTCCACCTATGATTCTCTCCCATCATTGATGTTTCTATCTCTCTCTCCCTCTCCCTTCCTCTCTGAAATCAATAAAAATACATTTTTTAAAAAGTAGTTTACTTTCAATAATGGTTTAAATACTATATTAAAAACATTCCCTAAGCCTAAAAAACAGGAAATGATCCAAAGTTTATGCATATGCCTTATAGGTCACTATCTGAAAGGTATAAAAATACTCATCAAACTAAACCAAGAATTACATGATATTTGTTCTGGTATCTACTAGTATTTTCACTGCCTCAACTACACCAATTTTCCATTAGGACAATAAAGTTCTGGCTAGTGTAAAAAACATTATCAGTTACTCTTGAGGAAATTTTTCTATGTGATATCAAAAGTTCCAAAACCCACAACCATCTATACACTCAAGTCAACAGTATTACTTCCACCTTCTCATTTGCCAAAGAGGAGGAACAAAGTCTGCAAAGTAGATAAAATAATACTGATAAGTATGTGATTTAATTTTTCAGCCCAAGGCTTTTTTTATCCTCTGAATTTGTAAATGTAATAGATAATAAATCTTACTTTATAATATATTCTACAGTTAACCCTGTAATTTTGTACAACTAAAGGAATAAAGATAGGCAAATAACAAAAATTTTCAATATGCTTCTTCAACAGTATTCAGTTTTCCAGGGCCAAATTGAAAAATTATTGTATTACTAAACTTTATGGCTCCCAATAAGACTAATCAGTGCCTTGTTGACAAAAGTGAAGACAAAGATTACTACCATGTAACACCCTTATCAAAGAAGCACCCACACATATCATTCATATCTTTGGCAATACAGACAAGTCAAAGAACAAAAGGGCAAGGTACAATACCAACTCAGCATGAATAAGAATGTATGACACATCTGTTCAAAAAATGTAACAACCTAATGTTTAACAGCATTCAAGTGAACTTACAGAGATTTTTCACAGCTTTCAACAGAATGCTTTTGAATCCAAAAATATGCTACATTTTATAGGATAATTTTTCAAACTGCATAATTCTTATTTATAACAGTAATATTAGTGTTTTAGAACCTGTCTCCTAAGATCCCTAAAACTAATGCAAGGATGCTAACAGATGGACTATTAGGGGGAAGAATTTTAATATGTGGACTAGAAACTTAGTATAACTTATATAGAGTTTTGAAATTGAACAACCAGGCACCTATTATTAATGATGGGTTGAAAAAAACAGAGGTCAAATATGAAGAATTTTTTTTCTCATAAGAAAAAAGAAGGGTAGTCATACATTTATTTTAGGTTCATTTCATTAGTTTATTTATCTTTCTCCTACTTTTACATGGAAATCTTCATAAGTAATGACACTTGCTATGCCTCTTTCACCATATTTGTGCTGCAGTCAAGGTGCTCTACTTGAATGTTTCTGTTAGCGCCAAAAATATTTCAGATTATTGATCATGTTTTTAAACAAGAAGCTACACCTATTCTTTTTTTATTTTTTAAATATATTTTTATTGATTTCAGAGAGGAAGGAAGAGGTAGAGAGAGATAGAAACATCCATGATGAGAGAGAATCATGGATTGGCTGCCTCCTGCAAGTCCCCCACTGGGGATCGAGCCCACAATCCGGGCACACGCCCTTGACCAGAATTGAACCTGGGACCTTTCAGTTCGCAGGCCGACGCTTTATTCACTGAGCCGGCTAGGGCTACACCTATTCTTAAACACTTTTTATATAGTACCTGTTCCCAAATTATTTTCTTGTGGCCTCAGATTTATTTCTTGTAAAAGAGACTGTTATAAAAATTAAGATAACACATATAAAAATCTGGCAAAGTGCTGGAAAATAATAAATATTAAATAATTGTTACATATAATTATTAATTATGAAGTGAATAGTCATTAATTTCAACTGACTAATGCTCACTCATGGTGTCAATAAGAATAAGAATAAAAGTAACCAGGAGAGCCCTGGCTGAGTGGCTCAGTTGGTTAGAGCAATACGCCAAGGTTGTGGTTCAATCCCCAGTTAGGACACATACAAGAGTCAATCAATGAATGCATATATGAGTTTCCTCTCTCTCTAGAATCAATAAATAAAAATTTTTAAAAATTAAAAAATAAAAGCTACCAGGAGAATTTTGGTTCTAACAATTGTGGGTCAAAAGATTCTGACAAAGAAATTAAGTTTCTAGGAATAGCCTTACTCTTTACGAGGCCAAAATGCATTCATCAGGGTCAATGGCTGATCAAGGAGGTAAGAGAGAGAGAACCAAGATGGCGGCATAGGTTAACGCCGGAGTTTGCTGCTTTGAACAACTACTTCAAAAGTGAAACCAAAAAACGGAAGGGACATCACCCAGAACCACAGGAACGCTGGCTGAGTGGAAGTCCTACAACTAGGAGGAAAGAGAAACGCATACGGACACTCAGAGGAGGCGCAGTGCTGAAGTCAAATTCTGAGGTGCGGAGTGCGCGGAGCGGGCTGGTGGCGGAGGGCGCGGTTGGCGTTTTCAATCGGGAGGGAGTCGCAGACTCTGAGCTCCAGATCCGGGCGAGTCTTTAGGGACCCAGACTCAAACGGGAGAAGCGGGACTGTCTGGCTTCGGTCAGAGCGAGTGCAGCTTTCTCTCTGAGCTTTGCAGCGGGTGCTGGGACTCAGAGAGGCAGAGCCCCTGGGGACAGGACTGAGAGCCGCCATAACTGCTCTCTCCGGCCCACCCTGTTGATCCTGTGCGACCTGCCCCGCCCAAGCCCTGCACACAGGCATTTGCCGGATAGCCTCAGGCAAACGCCAGATTAGCACCTCCCTAGAGGACAGAAGTTCTCTCACTGCTGACACAGCTGATTCTCATAGCCACTTGGCCTGGAGGTCAAACCCTCCCTGGAATTAGCTACAACAATCAAGATTTAACTATAAGACTGCGAACAAAGACCACTAGGGGGTGCACCAAGGAAGCATAACAAAATGCGGAGACAAAGAAACAGGACAAAATTGTCAATGGAAGATATAGAGTTCAGAACCACACTTTTAAGGTCTCTCAAGAACTGTTTAGAAGCCGCCGATAAACTTAATGAGATCTACAAGAAAACTAATGAGACCCTCGATCTTATATTGGGGAACCAACTAGAAATTAAGCATACACGGACTGAAATAACGAATATTATACAGACTCCCGACAGCAGACCAGAGGAGCGCAAGAATCAAGTCAATGATTTGAAATGCGAGGAAGCAAAAAACACCCAACCGGAAAAGCAAAATGAAAAAAGAATCCAAAAATGCGAGGATAGTGTAAGGAGCCTCTGGGACAGCTTCAAGCGTACCAACATCAGAATTATAGGGGTGCCAGAAGATGAGAGAGAGCAAGATATTGAAAACCTATTTGAAGAAATAATGACAGAAAACTTCCCCCACCTGGTGAAAGAAATGGACTTACAGGTCCAAGAAGCGCGGAGAACCCCAAACAAAAGGAATCCAAAGAGGACCACACCAAGACACATCATAATTAAAATGCCAAGAGCAAAAGATAAAGAGAGAATCTTAAAAACAGCAAGAGAAAGAAACTCAGTTACCTACAAGGGAATACCCATACGACTGTCAGCTGATTTCTCAACAGAAACTTTGCAGGCCAGAAGGGAGTGGCAAGAAATATTCAAAGTGATGAATACCAAGAACCTACAACCAAGATTACTTTATCCAGCAAAGCTATCATTCAGAATTGAAGGTCAGATAAAGAGCTTCACAGATAAGGAAAAGCTAAAGGAGTTCATCACCACCAAACCAGGATTATATGAAATGCTGAAAGGTATCCTTTAAGAAGAGGAAGAGGAAGAAAAAGGTAAAGATACAAATTATGAACAACAAATATGCATCTATCAACAAGTGAATCTAAGAATCAAGTGAATAAATAATCTGATGAACAGAATGAACTGTTGATTATAATAGAATCAGGGACATAGAAAGGGAATGGACTGACTATTCCTGGGGGGGAAAGGGGTGTGGGAGATGCGGGAAGAGACTGGACAAAAATCGTGCACCTATGGATGAGGACAGTGGGTGGGGAGTGAGGGCGGAGGGTGGGGCGGGAACTGGGAGGAGGGGAGTTATGGGGGGAAAAAAAAGAGGAACAAATGTAATAATCTGAACAATAAAGATTTAATTAAAAAAAATTAAAAAAAAAAAAAAATGGAGGTAAGAAAAATAAGTAGTTTTAGCAGTTAAACTATAAGCCTGATGAAGTGTATATAGTATACGCAGTAATACACATGAGTATAAAAAGGTAATTATTGTTTACTATTTCACTTGGATGCTTTCATAGTTC